CTCAGTTGGGTTGGACTCGAGCGCGCGCGTTTTAGCGCGAAACGTTCCCGTCAAATTCACAGAAACTAGCTAGCTCCATAGTCCATGGTCCCAATCAGATTTCGGTACCACAGAGAGGGACAAATTGTGAGTAACTATTATTGTGAGTAACTGATTCCTTTCGCCCATCCCCAAATTCTCTTGAAACTGGACACGAAGAGAGGGTCGGTGTTTGGACTTGAGCGCACGCGTTTTGGCGCCAAAATTTCCCGCCAAATCCACACTATCTCCATCCATATAAACTTTACTCTCTTGCTTCTCTCCTTACGTTACTAGCTTCTCGGCTAAAATCTATTCATTAATACTATTCTTACTTACTCAGTCTATTAGAGTCATTCACAAACTGTGATCCTATCTGTCGTGTACTTAAACCAACAGACAAGTCTCCCGTTGAAGCTATATCAAACAGACAGCTAATATCACCGTTGCAAGCCGCTTCTGCCTGCAGTCTGAGAGAATCGTTCGCCCAATTGATGTCTTCAATGAACATCGGTTTGAACGATGAGTTGACGAATGTGGAGAAGTTTTCGCCTGGTTTGTAGGTAAATAATGAGGTAGTGGAGTTGACTTGCCCTAAAACATACAATGTCGTTTGTTTAGTTTTGTAGAAAATGGCGGAGACCCGATAAATAGCTGTCTAGATCTGGAGAATCATGGAGAACTGTAATTCTTCTGTTTTTTCTTTATTCCCATTATTTTTTTCAAAAYATATTATACAAAACTTACATGACAATCCAAACTTATAGTGAATATCACTGCCGGCCATATCGTGTGGCAGTACTGTTCCATTAGGTAGAGTAAAATCATCCTCTGGATTTCCATTCCATGTTCCAAGAAGACCTTTCGTCTTGTTTTTGAATGACTCTGGAGCAGTAGTGACGATGGAAAGTATGTTCTGTTTTTCGCATATTGTTACTGACATTCCTGAAGGGAAAGTCATCTCGAAGCATTGTTCCTTAGGCTTGGAAACCGTAACAGAACCATTATTGAGATCAATAGATTCGTTGGTCAGGCTTTTGAAGTCAAAAGGTTTTCCATCTACGAGAACTTCCATTGTTTCTTTGAATAAGTGAATAAATGGAATCATAGGTCAATTCTCCTTTGTTAAGCAAATTAAGTAGGCATAAATTAGACTAGTCAAGAGTAGTGCTTTACAGTAATTATATCATTTGCAAGCGCGTCCAAATTTGATGAATTAAGGCTCGGTAGAATACGTGACAGAATTGCACAACTTGTCACGCAACAACCGTTAACTTATGTAAATTAAGTTGCATGCTGCTTCATACCGTGCGTGACAAATCCTCTCTGCTCCAAAAGTAAAAGCAAGCACTGTTTTTTGCAACAAAGAAAATGTATATAGAATGGAAAAGGAAAAAAAAAAAAAAAAAAAAAAAAAAAAAAAAAAAAAAAAAAAAAAATGCGCCCAGAATACGTGAAGGGCCGGGAGCATAAATTAAAACTTGAACTTTTCAATCTATCTTACCATTATCATACGGCAAGGTAACTTGAACAGTTGTGGAATTGTTCTCTTTGGCTACAGCTCCACTAAACACGGTAGCAGTACCCTTTCCTTTAGCAAGTCTCGTTCGGGCTTGTATCTGAAAGTAACCATCTTTTGCATCCAGCATGACGTACTCTCCAAGACCGTTGAACGTGTAGTTCTTGCTGTCCAGTGTGACGAAGTGAGGATCGCCCCAAAACCACGCTGTAAGTTTAAAAATCGTAAAAAGAATCTTAAATTATGTTGTTAATTGATTTACACCGGCATGAGATGTAACGTGAATATATCGTCAGGGGAATGTGCAGGCGTCCTTGAATTCCTGGTAAAAACCTTTGTAATAGTCACCCCCTTCTAAAATTCCTGAATCCGCCCCTGGGCCATCTTGTAAATATGTCCTCTTAAACGGTCCTACAATGCACTGAAATGCCAGCTCGACCCATTCTTCCTCAACCTCAGAATCTAATCAATCTAGTTATGTTAACTTACTCCTTCTCGGAGGGACGTAACGTGCACATGTGTCAGATGGACGTCGTTCTAGATACATCCAACACAGGTTGCTATAAACACAACATTGTTGGTACGCTTTGTAGTCGTTCTGTACCCAATTGTATCGATCCCAACGTTGGTGGTGCCTAAAAATATAAGATGAGTGGATTCATTAGYGCTTGCCTCTCACGTGCACCAATGTGACCCGGGTTCGAGTCCCGCGGGGCTCGTTGTTGTGTGTGAGTAGAGTTGCTTGTTGGTTCTCTCCTGTGCTTCGAGGGCTTTTCTCAGGGTTCTCCGATATCCGGTTTTCCATTCCACTGCTATCTCCTATTTATTTATTTCATTTATTTAATTATTTTTGGTATTTATTTTAAAAAGATTTTCTACGACAAGGCTTCATTTGCTTCAAAAACGTCCTTCAAATTTTATCGATACCATGAATAAAACAGGTCAGGGCACGGCGAATTTACTGATAAAATTGGTCATGGTGTTCTGCATGTTAGAGAAAAGCCCTTGTTCGTAGAAGAGACCTAACAAACTCTACCCACATGTGATGACGAGTCCAGGAATCGAACACGGTACCTCAGAGATGAGAGAAGACCGCATTTATATTACCTAATTCACCTTTTCGGCGCTAGCCGTCACGTGGTATAAATGGTTCGGACATTGCTCTCGGATTCCCATACAAATTCACTGACTTTAAAAAGAAAATTCAGATCGATCTCTTTAGTTAGCTCTCTAAACAGTGGCAAGAAAAGCTTCAGTCAAACCGGAAAACTGATATTTTGCTTGTATTTAGAGAGCTAACTAAATAAACCAAGTAAATAATTTGTTCAAGATTCCGTACATTCGTACGAAATTCCGAGAACGATGTCAAAACCTCTTGGTGACCAAACGCAATGCAACACCATTTATACCACGTGATGGGTATCGCCGAAAACACCTAACTGTGCTTACTAACTTTTGAGCATTGCCGCCATTAGGAAATCCACTTGTTAACAGAGGAAACCACCACCACCATCCCCACCACCATCCTGTTGTTCTAATGAATTCGTAACAGCACTTCTGTCCCCATCCGAACACAGAAGGGAACCTTGAGACAAAGCAGTAGACTGGCCATCGTCCTGACTCATACCTAAATCTCCTGTCTCTCCAAGCCTGCCAATACGTACAAGGACAGGCTTCCAGCGTGTTGAGATARRSCTGCAAACCTCGAGAWCTCAACTCCCAATTATCTTTTACGTACCACTTGGCACATTCAATCATGGCATCTAACCTTCCAGGTGAGTCTTCCAGGCGGATAAACAGTCTGCCACGAATGCCATTCAAGGTTTGTCGAAAGTTCAAGTCRCCAAAAGATTTAATGGCATTTAACCCTTCTATTTGATCAATGTCTACGATGGGGACTCTGCCAGAGCTAGAAAATCGAAATTGATAGTATATTAAATGAAAATTCATGAACAGAAGAATAGACCCCTTGTATTGTTGAAGTTGTGCATTCTTTACTTTACTGTTGGTATTTGCACACGAGGCTAACCCTGTGTAAGTGAGTCTGTAATCAAGGAACTCAATCAATCGAATCAAATCAATATCACGAGAATTGGAAACCTATTGTTATGCCCTCCAATGCAAATTTGAGCTGTATTCCGACGTGCTGCATAGGGGTCTACTGTCTTACATGGGTAACACTTGCTTTGGGGGACATCACGACAAATCTTGAACAGGGCTTGAAATAGTGCAAAACCTCTATTCCTAGTTTGGTCTTCTCCACTAGCTCCATTTTCACTCTGATTTTAAACCCATTTTCAAATACTAGCTTACCGTGGATGATTGTAATAGTTTCTATTGATGTCTCCCGCGTTGATCCCAACCACTGGAAGCGCTCGGTCATACCAGTATCGATAATAATATCGACTAAAGAAAAAACGTGTCAGTAAGCCATCGCTAATCAATTAAATAATTAATCGTAATCATTAATGTGCCTTACTTTGATTGATTAGTAAATTAATTTTGCGCGCCAAAATTGCAATACAATAATAGCGCGTGTATGACAAGTTTCTTGACGCTGTTGTCCATTTACCACCGCACATTTAACAAACAACAACCATGTAGAATGTAAAGAACATCCATCGTGGATATAAATAACGGAGAAAACACTTATTCAATTATACCATCGCCTATAGAAGACTAGCTAGCAGTAGAAACGAACTACAACCAATATGGCTACAATTTGTGGGACAATATTAGCTAACATTTCCCTTCACAGTTCCCTGCGCCATYTTGAAAGGTAACCATGCCATCGAAGCGAGGTCGGCGGTGCACTTGTAGTGATAGAGACATGTGAATAATTGCCCAAGGTTGTCAAAAAGGGTCGATCTATCGTTAGAAGGTCACCTCTGTACCTGCTTCAAAGCCCAGGTATGATTACCTTTCAAGATGGCACAGGTAACTGTAAAGGGAACTATTGAATAATGAAATATTTCCTACTTTCCCTTATTCTTATAGCATTTCCTTACGTTTCATCAGGAGCAGACCACTGGATACCGTTTTGAGGATAGTTGTACAGAACGAAAGAGAACACACCATCTGTTATGAGGACTGCTTGGAATGTGTTGAACTGTGGATTCGATGCAAGGTATCTATCATGATTACTTCTCATTCATGTTAAATGCATGTCTCGGATCAGATCCAAATGATCAAGAGCAGTTCGCTATGAAATATCTAAGATCCAGCATTATAGATATAAATTATTCATCGCGTTTGGTGTTTTTATTGCCTGCCAATTGGGATCATTGATGTGCCTTATACTTTATGGTCAATGCCTTTCAAAGCTCTTCTTTTTTTTTTTTCTTCGACTTTTTCTTTAGGTTGTTATCAAATAAGGCAATAGAACCTTTTCAATTGCTATTCCTCCCTCCCTCCCTCCCTCCTTACCTCCCTCCCTTCCTCCTTACCTCCCTCCCTCCCT